GTCTTCACAAGACTGATACGCTCCTCACAAACTAGCTTGGACAAGCGCAAATTAGACCGCCATTTCCCAAAATTTGGAAACAAGACCAAGATTTCTCTGGATATTTTCTTGACCAAATATCCTGCTAATTGCAACTGTGGGCTGGTTAATTTGCTATTGGGATAGTAAAAATAGTGAGTTATTTGGCAAACTCGAGCTGATGATGACAGGCCCTTGGGTACTCCATTCATTATTCAGTGCGTAAAGGCACCCTTAATACACTTTAACCTCTCCTTAATCAAAAATAATCTTGAATTCTGAAACGATTGAAAATAAATTTGAACAGAATCAGATACAACTATCACTACCGGTAATCATTTCTATAAATTATCTTTAAAATGGATATGGATGAAGAATGTGTATGCAGTTGCTGAGAAATTAACATACTAAGCAAGAAATGCTATAAAATGACAGGACTCTGTGTAGGCAACATACTTTGTCTCTCTTCTATGTTGTGCCAAGTGTGCATGTCTGCATTAGTGATTTTCAATAACAGATTTAATTTTTTGTTTAGTGCTATTATGGCTGGTATACCACATATGTACTGCAATATACCACAATTTATGTACTGTAATGATCACATTTCACAATTAATATCCTTTTCAAATTATCTTGAAATAAATCTTCACCGCAAGTATAAATCTGGCTTTAATAAGCCATATTCTCATTTACTCTCATTATGACTTGCCTATCATCACAAAAATGGTTTTCTAAATGATAAGAAACATAAAAATCCTGCATTAACAAGATTTATTTCTGATTTCTTGCTGGAAAAAAAATCTATAACCTCAGAATATTTCTTCACACGTATCTCAGCTGTAGATTCGTTAGTACATGCATTTTGCAATCATCATTAAATCGGATGTGTTAGCACCTAATACAGGAACTCTTCTTCCCCTCCACAAACTACCGGTAGACCTAATTATAAAACCCCTTTTCCCACATCCTTATTGATCCTCAAAAAATTGCACTGGAAAATGGCAGAAACAGATACTGTTCACTGACAAACTTGCGATATACTCCCATGTACAAGGAATGTTGTACGTGAAGCTAGCTGCAGATTTCAGTTTTCACTTCATATTGATCGCAATCTAAAAGAGTCTACATTCCTGTTAGTATTAGAAATCCCTTTCAGTCGATAACAACTAAACTCTAGCATTTACTGCTCTTCTTCCAAACACTAAAAATATCAAATCCAAAAGACAAGCGCTTTGCAAAATACAATTACTCACAAGGGAAAGCGACCCGATTAAAGGTTTTATCAAATTTTCGCTAGAAATGAAGCTGACACCTCCATTTTTTCAAATTAAGATTTTATTAACAACATTCAAACAAGAAAATAAATCCTTTCTTTTTGTCTAGCTATATGGTTTTCATATAGCTATACAATCAAACCTTTCCACCAAAGGGCATTTCACGAAAAAATCTTCAGACAACAAATAAATGTGTAGCCATTTTGTTTGTTTCTACAGCTATACAGTGAGATCTGCACATCTGGAACATTTTCAACGAATGACATTACATTAAATGACATTCAGACGAGAGAAAAAAAACTGATAAAATTGTATCTTGCTAGTTGGTTTTCGTACAGCTATACGGTGATATTTTCTAGTCTGAATGAGGGGAGGGGGGGTTGAGAGCAATGCAAATTGGACACCACATCTTGTCTTACATCTGATCCAATAGAAACCTCGATGCGGCCGTCACTGGGGTCTGATATCATCAATGACTTCCAATAAATCTTCCTGAGCAAAACTGCTTTAATCAAGTCAATATTGCTGCTCAATTACGTTGGTTTCGGAGATGAATTAGCCTACAAGTATCCCTTCATGAATGCAAGTATGCAGGCCTGCTTTTATATACCTCGGGACCTTCTTTTGTCTTCCTTTCTCTCTAAACCTACCTCCCTTCTCTCCCCCACCCTCTCTCACTCTCTCTCTCTCTCTCTCTCTCTCTCTCTCTCTCTCTCTCTTTCTATTACACTTTCTCTTTTTCTCTATCACTTTCCTTAGTCTCTTTATCCCTCTCTCTCTCTCTCTCTCTATCTCTGTGTTCGTCTATCTGTCAGTCTTTCTATCTATCTATCTATCTATCCATCTATCTATCCATCTATCTATCCATCTATCTATCCATCTATCTATCCATCTATCTCTCTTTCTCTCTCTCTCTCTCTCTCTCTCTCTCTCCTTGTCTTGTGAAAATGATTAAAATGTTGGTCCAAGTTTGATTCTTTCTTGCTCTTGAGAATATTAGCTCATACTGTCCTTTTGTTTCCTTTCTGAATGCCCAACCCCTTCCTGCCAAAGATTGTTTATATTCTCTTTCCTTATTCATCTCTCATGAATTTTGGAAATAGAATTATAGAAAATGGATCCCTCTATTTCCTTTAGCCTGATTAACACCTCCTCCTCATACTTTACATAATATTTGGACTGACATTTATTGTAGGTTGTCAGCTTTCTGCAAACATTTTGAAATTAATCGAAAACCGATCATTTGTAAAGCAGCTGGCGACCTTTTCTCAACTAAATATTGCTTGGAAATTAATAGTCCTCAAACAATGAATACCTGTCTATGATCAGTCACCAATCAGTCCAAGAACTGTCGGCAACTGTTCGAAAAACCAAGAAAAACCAAGAAAAACCTTTTCACAGCCACTTTGGGCGGCAAAAGGTTGTTTGATGAAAAGCATAAACATATAGCCAACCAAATGCTCTAGAGACCAATATCCGACCACTGACAACCTTTTAATGACTATCAAAAACCTTTTTCTGACCTCTGATAACTAACTCCCGGACTAGTTCGGGAGTCAGTGAAGAATCATAACTATTGTGTGACTTAGGCTTCATTCATCACCGATATTCCACTCGCCTAAAGTTTGCCAAACTTCTAGTACCTGCCACTTCAACGACACAATAACCTATACCCTATATTTATAACTGGCATGCTGTCTCGTTTTCTCTATCTCCAAGACTTACAGCTCAAGAACACACAAGTGATGATGATGATGATGATGATGATGATGATGATGATGATAATGATGACAATGATGGCTTCTTGTATATAGCGCCAGTGTCCGCCTCTCATCAGAACTTATAACATAATGCAAACAATCCTTTTCATCTTTCTTTCCACACTCAGGACCTTAATTTCTCTTTCCTTATTAAATCCATCCTGATACCCACTTGTCCCAATTTTGGCGAATTTCTACTACCATTCATGTCAACTTCATAAGACACAATGCCCGAATCCTTTACTTTATATCTTGGGCATGCTGTCTCCTTTTCTCTTTCCACAAAACATTCAACTCCAGACTTGACAAGTCTGAGTGCTTGTAACATTAGGCACAAGAGGCCTCTCCTCATCAGCTCGAGATTGCCAAATATCCTGCTAGTTAAACTTTCCCTGAAGGCAAATTAACTGGATAATATGCATTATCATCAGCCCGAAAACGCAATAAGTGGGATAATTGGTCGAGATCTAGTCATCCCAAGATATCTTGGGCTAGTTGGGCTAATATCCCACTATTTGTCCGGTGCGTCACCACCAGCCCGAAGACTCGCACTATGCACGAAAGCTGAGTAAAATATCTCGAGTTTCAAAGTCGTGTCTCGAGCTGATGAAGACGCGATTTGTAACTTTGGGCTTATTTCCCAAATCAGAAATAGCGGGCTATTTGGCAATCTCGAGCTGATGAGGACATACCTTTTGCAACCCAGTCGAGGGCCCAGGCTCTGGTGTAGCAAGAGATAGATAATATTTGCACAGCTGAGAAGGGCACAGGGCCATCAAACAAACTTGGATTGAAGATGGATGATGACCTGCCAGCCAGCCTCCATCCCTGTGTTATCATTCACATAGATCTATCCATCTCAATACCAGAGTCTATATCTATGAGTATGTTCACACAGGACAGTTGTAGTTTTAAACTTTGAGTTTGTGAAACCTTGAAGTTATACACAATGTAGTTTTAAAGGCATCGTTTAACAATTTTAAATCTGAGATGCACAGCCCTACTTGTTATCAGTGTCTGTGATATGGTGTTATATTGAACCTCTAAAAAATTGCGCTTCAAAGCAAACAGGAAGTATCTCAAAAAAGTAAAAATCTTTGAGTGACCGGTTTTACCATACTTGTTTTCCCCAATAGACTGTAGTGTTATGAAAACCTTTAGAAAAATGCAAAATTTGGTTTTGATTTACAATCATAAATATCTTGATAATCGAGACAGGCGATCGGCTTGTAAAAGTCACGGGGTTCCTGACTGACCTAAAGGTTTATAATTATCATTGCAGCATGAGCTAAATCCAGGATTTTGTTTCAGAATCTGAGACAAAGTTACCGGATCCCTTTAAACTTTAAGTTTGCGAAACCTTGAAGTTATACACAATGATCCACTGAGGGGATGAGGGTTCACACAGGACTAAAAAGATGATTATTCAAAGTTTTTAACTACAAGCCGGAAAAGCATTAATTTTAACTACAAGCTGGCATAACCTCAAAGTTAAATGCATCAGCATGACAAATAACTTTGAGTGGGGACCCTCGCTAGTCATAATTATTGAGCTAAGCATTAGATTGCATGTGGTGTATAACATCAAGTAAACTTAAAGTTTGGTAACTACAAGTATCTCTGCACAGCACCTAACTACAAGATGACTTCAAACTTTAAAACGTCAACGTAAACTTTAAGTCAATGGTCTGCCGTGTGAACCTAACTTACATCAACCGCCAAGGAGGAAGCAAACTGGATCACAACAGCATGTCCATATTCATTTTGAACAAATATTACTTTAGAAATGTGAATGATTAAAGGGTATTGAAAAAATCAAAATGCAACTCACACCAGATCAGACTCGGGTAATTAATCTTTGATCAAAGACTAGCTTGATTTCAAAGAAAATGTTGAGATCCGGCGCAGATGTAAATATACTTTGTTAGCTTTCTTATTTTTTGTACAATGTATATCAGTTAGGATGAAAATCAAAGAAGTGTCCTAAGAAAATTATTTCTTTTCACAAACCTTTATAATCATTCGACAAAATTGATGAAAATAACGAAAAAGTTTGGATTGAACTTTCACACCACGGTTGTGTGTAGTCCCACATACCCATTACGGTGTGCGGTGCATATGATTCTGATCATTTCACAGTACCGGGTATACATCAATTCTAATATGTATGACATATAAATCAATATTTCCCCCTTGCTTCCGGACAGTTTCTTTCACCATGTAACTGCAGTCAAACTCAACTTCATCTTTACAACATTTAACACTTACCTTTAAATGAGAGTCAATAAGTCACCAGAACCGTCCCCTAGTGCAGTCTTAGACAATCCCGGTGACAATCCTATTCTCATGACGGTTATTACACTATGAAATCACTGCTTACGCTGAAATTTAAAATGAGAGAAGGAGAGAAAGGAAATAACTGAATATAAAAATTAAATAACTCAATGACTGCCCTTACATAGGCACTTATTCTGCAAACATCAGCCAGTAAGATCTTTTGAAAAAATCAATGAAAATAACTTTTTTAATAATAAATACTAAAACTGTATACATTGCAAGAATGTTGCGACGCTTCGAAATTGGCCATGGTGATATAAATAAGGTAGTTTTTTAATTGTTGTTACTTTGGACTTTGGAGACATCCTTACTCTCATCATATACCAAAAAGATTCTGAAAATTGTAACTTGTAGTATTTTCTGTAAAAATATAAAGGAACAATTTCACTTTGACTAAAGATAAATAGTCTAAATTCTTTACATAATGAGACAAATAATATTCATTTTTACTCAAACTTTCATTCATCAGTGAGGACTGAGCCAAACATACTTATTGTCACCATGTCTGTATTTACAGACTATCCTAATGCCATCCTTTCATATATCTTGTAGCTCTGTATGAACAAAGTATCTGGGTTAATCAGGAATCAATATCGGATCTATCAAGGTTATTAAGTCCTAGGCCCAATTCACACTCACAAAATAATAATGCCCTTGGAGCAATCCCCAATATATATACTCAAGCTAAATTTTCCTTCATTTCTGGCACCATTTTTGGTTAATTTTACACTCATGAGACAAATCAATTAAATTGTCTCTGAAATAGATCTGTAAGCTTTTATGCAAAATACACATTCTGGCTTCTAATGACTGGTTCAGACAGCTTCCAGCTTCACACCAATGCTGTTTCTCGTAAGTAAATGGTTCTTGGAGCTGTACCATGCCTCTGGACTACTACAGTCCTGCAGCGATATGCGTAACTGGAGTGCCTCAAGGTGCAGTTGTGTCACCTTAATTATATAGAATGATCCTGCTTAGAGTCATTTTTTGTTTTACATTGTAAGTGTGAAAAGGGTCTTACTATAACCCTTCCCCCCCCCCCCCATCTCTCTTGGAAATCAATATCTTTGTTTACACACGCTTTCCCAGAAGAGATGGAGGTGGATTATTTCACAGAAGATCTCTATACTTGCTGTCTGATTGTATATCAAGATGATGCCCAAGTACCCCACAGACCAGGAGTTATTAATCAATTTGTCAGGCAGGCCAAAATAAATGAAGTATAATGTCCCTTCTAGGTAAAAAAAAAAAAAAAAAAGCATTTCCATTCCCCCTCTTCTCTGATTGAGATAATCATGGATAAGATTAATATTTTTTTCCTCTTTTTATATAAACTTAATATATACATTTTCTGTTGTACTAATTCTATTAAATTAGAGATATAATATGTGAGCAAGAGAGCTGACAAAAGGTTTGAAACATTCTCACAAGCAAACAGTCAGTGGCAGTCCATTTTTATCTAGGGTAGTTATAACTCGCTATTGTTTTGCTACATCAAATCATTTGGCTATATGAATCTGGTCCATCGGCCACCATTTACATGGATTTACATGGAGAAACCATCTGATTCGTGTATGAAATGGATTAAGAATCCATGTTATACCTATGAATATACCATGTGGAGATAACAGAACAATTACACATTAATTTGTCTCTTCCCCAAGCATTCATGGTCTAAATTGTAAGACTATCATAGGCTTTTGACAATGTTCCTATTTTAACAATGGAAGCTTATAGAGCTAACTAGTCAACAGTGATTAGTCTAATCCCTTTTCAAAGGTGGACATCATAATCCTCTCACAATAATTACTTCTTTCAATTGTGATTTATTTCTTCCAAAGATTCAAAGTGTGAAGCACCAGGGAAGTGTTCACACCTAGGGCTTATCCAGTACAATGAATGATGTCCAGGGAAGTGTTCACACCTTAGTGTAAAGGCATCTATGACCAAGTTGAAAGCTAACTGTGCAATGGCATATAAACTATAAAGCATTTATAGTCAAAACCACAAGCACATAGGCCTAGTCCCACCTAACAAATAAAGTCCCTGGTAATTGAGTGCTACTTCAGTGCAAACTAAGTGGTTGAAAAGTAAAATTCATCTTAAACTTAAAGAGATAGAATGGAAAGATTCAATCATAATCTATCAATGTGGGAAATTGTATATTTATAGTCTATATTATCTGAATCATGTTTCATATGCACTTGATGGAAATCTGTCACAAATGTTTTTATTTTAAAGGATTACATTAGGAAACACTTGGATTTTTTTTTTATTTATAGCACAACAGTGGTAAGTTACACCCTTAACCAAAATGCATTGTTATATTTAAAGTAAGGTGTGACCAAGCCTTTAATGGTACTTCTTGTAAAATGTTCTAATTCAGCCATTCTCTCCTGTATTGCCTAGGGCTTATCCAGTACAGTGAAATGATGTCCAATAGATAATGATGATCATTAAGTTTTTCTGTCAATTTCGTGGTTGTGATGAAGGAGAAGATAAGAGAGATCAACCTATTCTACAACTTTATCCCAACAGGACAAATAAGATTAGCGATGCAAAGGTAGTTCTGTTTCATGTAACGATTATTTTTTTTGGCAAATACACTGGATCTTGCCAAAATGATTAATTTATGATTGTATGATAATCATTTGATATTTCTTCGATGGTCTAGAACTGTTAAATGTTTTGTATCGTTCCTTGGAAAGTAGCTAAATCAAATCAAGTCCAATCTCATTAAGTCTTGTTTGTGAGAAATGCTTACAAACACATTTTTCTTCAAATGATCTCCACCCCCCCCCCCCCAAAAAAAAAAAAAAAATAATAAATAAATAAATAAATAAATAAATAAATAAATAAATAACAAATTATTGATTATGAATTTCTACTTAGGAGAATATAAAGTACAAAACAGCTAAACAAAATCCATGGCAGACAGAACTTCAGAGAATACATACACCACACCAAGACAATTGGTTTCTGAGGGCTCAGGCAAATGTTGCAAGTGAAAGGGTCTTCACGCTTAGACTATACCTCTCACACTCCAGAAAATGGAGTATTCTGCTCATGGACTGCCATCATAAATGTAAGACATCATCAAGTAGTTGTATCTGGGTCTCATAACCTGATGAAAGGATCAGGTGATCGAGTGATTATGGTACCACCTCACTTAAAGGTAAAGTTGAGTTCTGGTCATGCGATTGAAACGTTGTGAAAGAAACGGTGTGGAGTTGATCAAAAAAGGTTGATCATATAGTATTGGTGTGTACTGCAAGGTTCTGGAATAATCAAAATGATACCGGTAAAATTTTTGGCCCAGTCTCGGAAAAGTTAGAAGCGCTGTACACAGAAAGATGTGCATAGGACTGCACTAACATGTGGCATTAAAATCTGTCCCGATTTTTATGATGTTACATGTCATATTTAGAATATTAAAGCATTTGAAGAGCCATGCTTTTCAGGAAACATTTTTTATCTGATGTTCTTCCACACTTGCATAATCTAATGATAACGCTCACAAATTGTTTTTTACCTCTTCCAAGAACTCAACCTTCTCTTTAAAGGTACTTCCGAGCCGAAGGGTTCTGTAAAACAAGTATCTTGTAGAGGTCTCTCATGGTCTAGTAGATATGTCGCCGGACAGTGGATCGCATGGTTTGCGGTTCGAGTCCCATCGTGACACCAGTGTCCTTTGGCAAGACATTAATCTACATCTGCCACTCTCCAACCAGGTGAAATTATTTGGGTACCCGATAAAAATTCTAAATGACAACCATATTGGCAGGGCAAGAAGCTTTCACATTCACTTATAGTAAAAGTGCCATTGAGTGTTTTAAAACTAATACGTTGGTGCCTGTTGTGATTCTATTATTTCATAGCAAGAAAGTATTACAAATCTGAGCCACTTACAAATCATATGAAAGTCTCATGCACACAATACTTTCTTGAAATGTTTACAGTAATATGGAGTTTCAGTCTTGGAAATTAATTTTTGAGAGATTCTGTCTAGAATTCATTCTGAAGGACTTGACCATGTACTTAATGAGTTTTTAGAATCAATACAAAATAAATTAACAGACTTGTAGATTCAAGAACTTCTTTTAAACCAACTGCATGTACATCTAAAAGTAGCTCAAGATAAGGTGCCACACATTTATTCAACTGGCATTCGGAATGCCGCCAGAATGCCCTAGTTAAACTTTCTGGAATGGTTCCGGAATGCACCCATCTAGAAGCATTCTCAAAGTAGTGATGCGATCTGCGCCTATTGTCTAGAGAACAATGGGGCATTCCAGAATGTGCCCAAAATGGGGGTCATTCTGGAATGGTCTCGGAATGGGGGAATTAAAATAAGTCGCTGGAGACTGCTGGCGATTATTCAGATATGCTGGATTCAAATGCCGTCATAAGGTCCGACAGCGCAGAGCATTTTTAAAAGGAGTAAGAGCCATTTTGATTTCTCTTTTTAAACAAGGTATAACATTCGTTCTCTCAGCTTCTGATCTTCCAAAGTTGATAGCAGCGGAAACACATTGACGCCTTCTTGAAAGAAAAAAAACAAATCTTGGGATTACGTTTTACATTTTTTATGAAAAAAAAGTTGCGGTCGCTTTATTTCTTAACCGAAAGAAGGAATTTGATGCTATGAGCGGGTTACAATACTAGTATTTTACCGCTCGAAAAAGAGAAGCGAAAAACATATACAAATCGCTGATAAACCTTATAGAAGACAAGTTTCATTCATTGGCCCTTAACCCGTTGCCTACTGGAACCCAGTGGCTTCTGTATCAAGTCTATGGGAATGAGAGAATTCAGTAGATCGGTTTACAGTCGTTCCATAAACCTTCCTTCACTCGTTACTCAGCTTTTAAAACATACCCTTCACATTGAGCAGATGAATAAAACTTGACTCTGAATCAATTCAGATGGACTACCTTTATCAAAAAAAGGCTACTTCTCAAAACCCACTTAACCCAGAAAGAGAAGAAAAAAATCATGTCGTTCTAAGGTTTGCATGAAAAAATGGCCTCAATATGTGATGACT